GGGTGTTTTAATTTATCAATTTTGATTAGATCAAAATAATATTTCACGTCGTTAGGCATCGTGGTCGGGAACCTAATGGGTCACACACAAAAGAGAATTGGAAGATTGCAAATTGCCAATTGATTAATTTAACAATCGTTGGATAAATTAATTAATTGGATTTGTTATTTATATTTTCGAATTAATTAATTGGATTAATTAATTCACGGACCGGGTTTAATTAATTGGATTAATTAATTATTGGGCCGGACCGGGCCGAGCCTATTTGGGTTTATATAAATACATAACTAGGGTTTGAGGTTCATTAAGGTTTTCATTATTCTTGCTAGCACAAGAGAAAACCCTAGAGGCTGCAATCAAATTCTCTGTGTGGATCACCGTTGGAGGCTGGACAATTGGACAGCTGTGGTGGCGAATCAAAGTTGTGGAACGAAAAGAAAAGCAAAAGGATTGCAGATCTGGAAAAGGTACAATCTTATCACAATTCCTAACCAAACACAATGAGATCTATTGGATGGGAATCGAAATATATTTTAAATTCCGCTGTGCATGTATAAGTAGATTCCCAACAATTATTGCTCAAGTGTTCTAGTCCAGAAACTGCCGTTGAGGACTAGTTGATTTACAATCCAATCACTAGGCAATCGAGGAAAATAGCGCTATACAGCGATGAAAAGAATGCAGGTACAACTGTTCTGGGACTTAGCTTAGCCTTCGATCCTTCAGAATCACCCTATTATAAGGTTGTTTGCCTGAGGACTACGGAATATTCGATGTATTCGTATCAGATTGAAGTGTATGATTCCAAGACTTGCACATGGAACCGCTGGGGGGATTTTGTGCTTCCATATGACACGAAATTCTGCAATGGGGTTTACTGGAAAAATTGCATTTATTGGATTAGACCGACTGGAGAATTGTTTCACTTTAATCGCCAATATGGCACTCTTGAAAAGCGAACTGGTGCTCTCCCCGGTTCCATCAGGGCATATTTGGCAGGAAGCGAGACTTTCCTCACAGAATCAAATGGCCATCTGCACATGATGCTTTTGCTGTCTGAAGCGAAATTTTTATCGGTTTGGGAGATGCGGATGGACAAACATGGTTGGTTTCTCAAGTACAGTGTCGATCTGATTACAATTCCAGCTGCATTTGCTGTGATCAGCGGTAAAGCGGTTAGTGTTCTGGATATCATTAGAGGAGAGTGTGAAAATGATTCCACCCTGGTGTTCCATGTGTCGGGCAAGATTATGGCTTACAGGTTTTGTACCAAGAGTTTTGAGGTGCTTGTAGACTTGCGAACAGAGGAATTTTACCAACCGGGTTCATTGCAATTTGGATGTTCTGATGCTTACCAATTCATCGAGACGCTAGCACCCGTCTGAGATTGATGCCCGTAGTTGAATTAGTTGTATGAATTCTCTAGGGAGGATTATTCTTTTCAATTCTGAGAATAGGTGCATAATCTCCTTGATCCTCCTGTAAATTGCCAAGTTTGAATTTTATTTATTTAGCAGTGTTTGGTTTGATAAATCTATGTTGGTTGTGAGAGATTTGTAATTGAATCGTTCATTAACTGATGCCTTAACCAAATGAGGATTTGAAATCTCTATTCAAGCATACTGGAGAATGAGGTCAGGCAGCAATAGCATTAGATAGACAGTGATGAAGAGCAGAAATTTGATATATTTTCATTTTTAAATCGAACTAATCTTTCGTTCAATAACGTCACCCAAAACAGCAGGGGAAATGAAAAATCGAATACAATCAACCTAATTATAGACAATTGGGGACGCAGTAGCAAATGAAGCAAGATTATAGGTCACACTCTTCCCCTTGTGGGGAATAGAATGACACGGACGAACGCATACTTCTGACATGTTAGAAATCTTTGACGCCGGTTCGCCACTAACGCGAACCAACGATGATAACTTCAGCTCAACTGACAAACCACAGCAACAAAATCGAGGAACCATTGTCTTTTTTGAGATGAAAAAAGCTTGAATTGAGTGAAAAGTTCTAACGAAGGTACATAGAGAGGGACAAATCCTCAATTAACTGCAAATGCATGGTCCAAAAATACTAAAAAATTCATTGAAAAAAATATTATTTAGACCCGATTCAAGTATATTAGAAAGAAACTAAAACACAAATTTTTAAAAATTATTTATAACCCTATACCGAATATCTCGATATAAATAATGAGATACCTCAAACAAGGTTCATTTAACAACATTTATGAATTTTCAAGAAGCTAAAATAGCAAAATATAAAAAATCATAATAATAAAATAAAATAAGTTAGTAGTGAGAGTATCTCGTAGTCCATTACAAGGAAAAGAAAAAAAAAAAAAAACTAATATGAATTAAAACATAAAAAATTAATTGATATCAAAATTGAATGTGACGAATAATATTGTCTTTACGAAAACTACGTTTTAATTCCATTTAGTGCTGTCGAAGTCAATTCACAATCACTATGGGCAGACTCCTAGACGAAACAGAATGTATTTTATTTATTTTTATTGGTAAATAATTTATATTGATCAAAATTTTTGAGTCTCGCTTAATAGTCCATTTTATGAATAAAATACAATTTAATTCTAGAGCGAGAATTTTCATAAAATATCTTTTTCCCCTTTTAATTAGTTAGTGCGCGTTACATTTACTTTTTTCGGACTGTTTTCAATTTTTCAAAACACACAAAGCACGTTTGATCTATTATTTTTGAAATACATTCTAAAAATAAGTTAAAATATATAACATAAAATTCAGAACCATTTTTTAACTCAAAACACGTCAAACTAAATTAAGCGTGTGTTTGAACCACATTATTTTGATTTTTTAAAAAAGAATATGATTCGAACATGGCCTGAACTCAAATTAAGCCCTTGTCTGAGCCTCATTTTTTTTAAAAGCGTTCTTAAGCCCTCGTTTGGTTCTATTCTTTCTAAATTTTAATGGTTGGAATAATATTTTTTGAAAAATGTGTAGTTGAAAAAGAATAAAATTTTTTTGATTTACGTGTAATATTATTTCATGAAAGATTGTGTGCTTAAAAAAAAAAGAGAGAAAAAATAAGGATGAGAATGGGACCAAACGAGATCTAAATAATATTTTGACATTATTTCAATCACATATTTTCTTAATAAAATAATATTATATACAAATTCTATTTTTTTTAAAAATTAATTACACATTTCGTCTCAATACATTTGTTTTTCGTGGGCTCAGGAGGCTAAAACTTTAAACAATTAGCCTCTTCTCACTCAACCTAATCAATTCCTCTCCTCTCACGAGTCGCCTTCTGCCAACAAGCCCATCCGGCGACGTCCTCGCTGCGGCAACATCCTCCACTCCGACGACGTCCTCCAATCCGGCGAGCAGGTACCTAATTTTCTCTCTCTGAACCAAATAATCAAATTTGTAAACAACGATTTATGTTGAAGTTTCTCCACGTCTTGAACCAATTGCAAGAACTCAGAAAATTTCATATTCTCAAAGGGTTATCAGTTAAATCTACATTTTTTCTTCACCAAACCTTGCCTGTTATACTCAGCTAATAGATTCGTGAAAGGGGTGCTCGGATTTCACTATGTCTTAAGCTAACTTTTTATCTGATAAGGAATTTTCGACTATCGATTAGCCCCTTAATCATGGACCAAAGTGCTCCTCACTAAGCATATTATTTGGCCAATTCAAAAATTCAATACGTAAGATCACTAAAAGAAAAATTTTGCCAGAAAAACGTTACTTATTTGTTCATAAGTTTAGAATATAGAAAAATGGAACAGAGAGTCATTAATGTACACCATTAATATATGGATTCAGTTTAGACAATTGAGGTATGGACCCAGTTAATATGTTATTATTGTAATTTGCTAGGTATCTATGTGCTATAGCATTTAAATTTAAAAAAAAAAATGGAGAGGAAAGTTACTAGTTAAATATATTTGAAAGAACCTTGTAATTATGCTCTGAAAAGCTCTGCTTGGATCGGCTGTTCTCATTGTATTTTGATTCAGGTCATGGCCTTGTTGAATTCTGAAGGAATAGTTGCTGTCAGTAGACTTGTTCCTCTAATCTGTTTGCCATCTGAAGATTTCTATATTTCAAAGTTAGTGTCTTCTATTATAGAAGATCTCACAAGTCTAGTATCTTGAACTATATGCTTAAGCCCACTTTTTCATACTATGGTCAGTTCTAGCAACTTTTTCACTTACATGATACTGGTTTTAATCAGTCTTTCATTTATACCTCCCTATTTTCAATTGCAAAGCCATTATTGGTGTGATGATCCATTTGACTGTGCTGTTTGTTTGTGTGAATTTAAGGCAGAAGATAAGCTTAGGCTTCTGCCTAAGTGTAGCCATCCATTCATATGGAGTTCTCCTCTCTTTGTAGAGAAATTTTGCTTCCTGACTTTTCACCGAATGGTAATTGCTCCCCCTATGATCCATGTTCATGAATATGGGGGAATAGAGCAGCTATAGAAGTTTGAGAAATGTGTGGTATGATTTGTCTGTGTCTTCCCGACTTTTCCCTTGTGGTCCATTTTATTTTCCATTTTGCTATTCAGTTTATTAATGTGGTTTATTTTTTTCACTATTGTAAATAAACAAGACTGGGTGCAATACATTTAGGAATGAGGGAAGTTAGCACTTTAAGCAATGCTTCTACTCAATCAGTTTATTATTTTGTTTTTGTAGCAGGAAAAAATAGTAAATTCACCAACTTTAAAATGTATATTACTTGATAATATATTAGCATGAAATTGTTATATTTACTAAAAGATCAAATTAATTGAATAAATGTGATAAAACAATTTCTAAAATTTTCTAACCAAACGCATTTTCTAGTTTTTTGTTTTGAGTGGCTATTTTTCAGAATGACAAATCAAACACGTTTATTGAGATCTTGATATGGTCCCTCAAAACAGAAAATTGAAAATAAATTCAAAACTGAAAACTGAAACGCAAACCAAATGCACCCTTAATAATTATCTGCTATTTTTGTTCTTGAATTGCTTTATCTACCCCTTTTCATTTTTTATTTCTGGGGGTAAAATTAACTATCCTTATCAGTACAAATTAACGGCTTATTGCCGTAGACCATTTCAGTTGAGCAATCCTCTTGCAAGTTGTGGTTCTGAATCAGTACATTTTTTGATTGTTCGATTTTTATTTTTTTTTATTTTTTTGTGTTGAATAATAACCTACTTTTTGGTTTGATTGAATTGGATGAGTAAAGGGGCTCCAGAAAGTTGAAAGTCAAATCAAGCAATACACCACTTTCTCGTGGAGCAGATTAATTGTTTCATAAAATGTTTAAATGGGACTGACTGCTTTTTATCTATTTGTATACATATTTGTGGACCCAAAGTTCACGAGACATTCTTTTTATACCAATTGCTAATATAATTTATCATTTCTTCATCTGCATTTTATGTGAGCTATATTCATTTTGCTTGACCCACAACTTTGGTTTGCTGGTGCATATGGAACTTGGTGCTAATCATAGTTGTCAAATAGGCAAATTGCGTATAAACAAGGTGGATTACAATGTGTTTGGATAGCAATGGCCAGGGGAGGGGTGAGGTGGGGGTGGGAATTCAGTGAAATTGGACGGAAAATATAGGAAAGGTCAATTTATCTCTGTGTTTAATCACTTGGGGAAGCGTTTCTTGTACTTTGATGGTGGAGCTTTTCTCATTGGTTATTCTTAGTCTTGCTTATGTCCAGGGTTGGGTGAGCAATTTCATATAATAACAAAAATCACACCCATTATAATTAATATGTCAAATGGTTGTTAGTTCCTTTCATGAATGGTTGTATTTTAGATGAAAATGACAATTCAGGGTTGGGTTTATCGTACTTTTTTACTAGTTGTTTAAAACCTTATTTTGCTTAAAAATAATCTGAGTTCACTAGTTCTTATTTGTTGAGGTGATATTTACTGGGGAAGTTTCTGATTTGCTAATGCAATGTAGAATCCAATAGCACAAGCCCAGTTTTTAATTGAGGGACCTGTGAGGAACAGGGACATCTGCCTGTCTTCTTCATACTTTCTCTATCAACTAAGGGTTGATTAGAGCATCACATATGTCAAGTGACTAAGGTCTTCGGAGGTTCAAAGATTTGGGAATTTCCAAGTGACTATAAATTGAAGTAGAGATGTGGTTACGCAGTTTGAAATCCCTCCCGTGTTTTGAACCTTTTACAAAATTCTTGAGATCACCATGGCTTCTCCAAGCCTGTTCTTGTTCAGATATTTCTTACAAGAAAACAAAACTAGCACCATTACAGGTATTCCCCCTGCTTCTGCTTTCTCTCTTCCCCTCGACATCTGTCCGTGCATGCACGTCATGTATGCAATTAATTTATTGAATTTTTATAAAATGTAATTTGATTTCCTCTATAATGTTGCAGGAGCGAAGGATGATAGACCGGTTCAGGTTATGGGCTAAAGGAGGTGATGGAGGCAATGGTTGTTGCAGCTTTCGTCGTAGCCGTCATGATCGCCGCGGTACACCTGATGGTGGGTTTCACTGACTAGTAATTGCTGGATATTATTTGAAGTTTCCCTGCTTTTAGATTTTCAGTGACTTGGCAATTTTTCTGTAGTCACTTGGTTTTAGTCATTTTGTCTAATTTATTCTCAATAAGATGCACATTGAGTTGAATCATTTTTCATCTTTCTTGTAGAATTTAAGTTCAAGAGCACGTGAATTATTGATATTGCAAAGTTGTGCTATCATTGAATGGTTATAGACAACAGAAAAATTATACTAACAAGGAAGAAGCTTCTCTTGCTTTTTCTTGATATCAGATTGAGCTTAAAAACCTGAAAGGATTAATACCTACAAGTGATTATAGTTTCTCTCTTCCCAATAGCGTCTTCCTGATTATTTGAATAATGAAAGATAACGGATAAAAACGAGTTCAATTTGCTACTGTCGACTTTCATGATTTCCTTCCTGATTTTGATATGACCTAACACAGGTGGGAATGGTGGAAGAGGTGGCGACGTAGTCCTAGAATGCTCTGCAACAGTTTGGGACTTCAGCGGTCTCCAACATCATATTGTATGTTACCTGTTACCACATTCATTGCATTATGATTGTCTTCCCACTTCTTCTACCTTGGTAGCGTGTGTATGAGGACATTTATGTGTTGGCTTTCTGCTGTGAAAATCTTTTATTAATAGTACTTCTGAAATGGCCCAGAATGCAAGGAGAGGGGGAAATGGGGCTCCGAAAAATATGATAGGAAGCCGAGGAGCTGATAAGGTTATATTTATGTATCAGTTCGTCTTGTTAGGTTTCAGCTTCTATCTTTAGTAGCTTATAAATTAAGGAAGAATGCCTTAGACTGACAGAAAACTTGTTTGTGTGTATATGATAGGTTGTTGTGGTACCTGTTGGTACTGTAATTCATCTTTTAGAAGGTGAAATTCCTTCTTTAGTTGAGAAGAAATCTTCTGGATCCTTGGACCCCTGGGACATTCCTGGTACATTTGATTTTGATTCATGTGATTATTCCCAACAGTCTCCTCCTACTGACAGAATCGTGAAGGAGGAGAAAATAGACAGTACTAGTGATGGCTCAGCTACTTCATATAAACAAAACGTCAAAGAATCAGCTCGTACTTCACCAATTGAAGTTTTTACTCAGTTCTCACCTTCCAGAGATGAATCCAGGACTCAACATAAAGCTCATGATTTTTCGAAGGAACAAAGCTGTAGTGACTTGGAGGATTGGGCCAGTAACAGTAATGCATCTGGAACAGAATGTGAAGAAGATGTGGAGGAGACAGAACTTGTAGAAATTAATGTTGCAGAGTTAACAGAGCCTGGCCAACAAATAATAGTTGCCCGTGGAGGGAATGGTGGCATGGGCAATGTGCGTTCTGCAAAATGTTCTAAGATGCACAAGGATGACAACTTAAATGTTGAAGTTTCTGATGACAATGACTTTGCATCACTTAATATTGGTTTGCCTGGTTCTGAAGCTGTCTTTCTGTTAGAACTGAAGAGTATCGCAGATGTTGGACTTGTAGGTATTCCAAATGCTGGTAAAAGTACTCTTCTTGGGGCTATATCAAGGGCTAAACCTACAGTAGGTCATTACGCCTTCACAACCTTACGGCCTAACTTGGGGAACTTAAATTATGACGATATTTCCATTACTGTGGCCGACATTCCAGGGCTTATACGAGGAGCTCATAAAAATCGTGGCCTTGGACATGCTTTTTTGCGTCATATAGAACGCACTAAAGTTTTAGCTTATGTGGTAGACTTGGCTGCGGCCCTAGATGGTAGAAAAGGTATTCCGCCATGGGAACAACTAAAAGATTTGATAATGGAATTAGAGTCCTATCATGATGGTTTGTCCGAACGACCATCATTAGTAGTGGCAAACAAAATTGACGAGGCAGGGACGGAAGAAGTTTATGAAGAATTAAGACAAAGGGTGCCTGGCGTTCTTATTTTTCCGATTTGTGCTGTTCTCGAAGAAGGAATACCAGAGTTAAAAGCTGGTTTGAAGATGCTTGTGAATGGAGAAGAGACATCCAGATTAAACTTAGACGGTATAATGACCGACTAGGTGGCCGATATTCCTGGAGTTTAGTGACTATAACCGTCTCTAGCAGTCAGGGATTACACTCGGAACCAGTTCATTTATGTCATTTTCATCAATGTATCAGGATGTCAGAAACTCGGACAACCTCTGGTTACTATTTTATTCTCACTGTGGCATTCATAAATGTCGTTAGTAAGATTAGGATAATTTTTATACATAAAATTCTGGCTGGCTTGGGTCGCAGGCCTCTATGGTTAACCTCACCACTGCCTGCGCCTGGATGTAGAGGTGGGTCCATACACGACACAACTTGTGATAAACCAATAGGCCGTTCCCGCCTAGGCCACATATTGATATCCCTACTTAGCTTTCCAGGTGAGTGCCTGAGAGGCATTTTTATCTTGAGGGTAAAACATGTACAGCCCAATACTTGATTTCTCTCCTGTTTTGCTTTTGGGCGTCAAACAGATTGAAGTTATAGTTCCAGTTGAAGAAAACAAATCCTTTGGAACATCTGAAAGGAGATCATATTATTGTGATTTAATGAGTTAATGACTTCTTTCATAACACCCTAATGGCTCTGTTGGCGGGGCTTTTGAGCTATGGAGTTGCTTTCTTATTTATTTGGAGAATTTTTTGAAAGTGCTTCTTCCAGTTGAAAGAGTTTATAAGGATGCTGATCGGTGGCTTATTGAGGAAGCTCTTTTACAAAAAATAGAATCAAAAGTCTTGTCAAATGGGCTTTAAAGAAGACTTTGCCTTTTGGCTTATATCTATGATTGTGTCGAATGTTGTTCGTACAAGATGGAAAACCAAGGCTTCAATGGATCTCAATCAATTAGGAGGTTCATTTTATTCTCTTTTCGTTGGAATAGAGGTGTAAAATGGTCTGGATATATGGCTGGCACGTATTTTCTATTTAAAAAGAAGCTCAGCACAACCTGACCGGACTAAAACAATTTTTTGACATATCATTCTTGTGCTTGCTTTGTTGATTTCTTTAACTTTTGCAAGTGAATTGGAAGAAAATGAAACAAAAATAACATTTCCAACCTTCTCCCGTGTAAGAAAACACATGTTAGTCTACATTTGCTTCTTTCGGTCGTTAATTTAGCTCTCGTTTGACCCTTATTAAATTTCATTTCATTTTTCTCTCTCTTATTTTTAGTCATACAATTTTCTATAAAATAATATTACAAGTAAATAAAAAAATTTCCTTCTTTTTCAATAACTCGTTTTTCAAAAAAATACTATTTAACCCATTTTTATTTCAAAAAATAGGGGCCAAACTGGGGGTCACTGTGCTGGCTCTCTCATCTAATTGTTACAACAATTTAATATATATGCACGTGGATTTCCTTCACGTTTTATGGAAATTAGATTAAAAAGTTAAGTGAACAAAGACCTCGGTCCTACTCTTCCAAGAAGTTGTGATTTTTAAAATTAATTAAGATTGTCTATATGAATGTTTTTTTTTGACTGTTTTGTTCGATCCCACGTTATGAACAAAGTCGAATCTTTTGCAGCCTTCCATCTTCTAATATTTCCAAATGCATATAAATTTTTATCATAGGTGAGATTTAGGCCTCGTTAGATTCTCATTTTAATCAAAATACATTTGTCTCTTTGTTCTTTTTAACCACACATTCTTCATTAGGATAATATTACATGCACGTAAAAAAAAATTCCTTATTTTTCATCTACACATTTTCCATCAATCTATTATTCTAAAGTTCACTTTTCCGTAAAAATGGGTGTCAAACGCCCTCTCATATACGCATCTAGCTAGAAGTGTAAAAGGGTCGAGGATCTTTCCTCCAATCTGTGGCTTGGCTAGGTTGCATACCTAACTCGAACTCAAAAGACTTGTGTATATTACAACATTGAATATTGCATAGAAAAATTTTCTATGCATTTTGGCATATTTTTCTATGCATTTTGGCATTGTTATAAAATTCAGGGAATATAATTTGAAATGACTCGACTGCTCCATTTTGTACTTTTCACCATTCGCCATTAACAGTCTATTCTATCATTTGTAGCAAACAATAAAATTTTACATGAGGCTATTAGGGGGTGGGGGCCTGATAACTTATTGCCTATAATATGAAATTATTATTTCTGAATTAATAATACAATCAAAAGAAAATTAACATGGGATGCAAGTTTCAATTTGAGGACAGCAAAATAAAGAGCTCCACGTGATCCTTTCAAGAGAAACAGAAGAAGATGGAAATAATTAAACTTCCCCTTATCATTTGGAGGGATCCACCTTAGACTTTTTACTCAGGTGAGTAAGACCCTGTATTTAAACCCGTCACAAACTCTTGTCACTACAGACACAGAGAGGAAGAAATGGGAAGGCCTCCTTGCTGCGATAAAGTTGGTATCAAGAAAGGACCATGGACTCCAGAGGAAGATATAGTATTAGTTTCCTATATCCAAGAACATGGTCCGGGAAATTGGCGATCAGTACCTACCAACACTGGTATCTTTGAATCTTGAATCTTCGATCTTTAGATTTTCCTATCAAGATTTGTTCATGTATAGAAAGACAGTTTAGTTGAATTATATGTGTGATTTTGATCTTGTTACACATTGTGATGGATCAAAGTTCTTTGCTTGTTCAGGTTTGTTGAGGTGCAGCAAGAGTTGCAGGCTTAGATGGACTAATTACTTGAGACCTGGAATCAAGAGGGGAAACTTCACTCCACATGAAGAGGGGATGATAATCCATCTTCAAGCCTTATTGGGAAACAAGTAATGTTTAAAATCTTCGAAACCATCTCACTTGTCCTTGATATTTTCCTACCATCTGAGACCATTTCCTTAATAGTTTGATTGTGTAATTAGCGCGCAATTCTTCTTTTCTTAGACGTAAAAGTTACACAAGTTGTTTTTTCCCTTTTGGTGTTGTTCATCATTGTCTAGTAGTATTGTGTTTTGGACAGATGGGCAGCTATAGCTTCATACCTTCCACAAAGAACAGATAATGATATCAAGAACTATTGGAACACTCATCTCAAGAAAAAGATCAAGAAACTTCAATCAGGTTTTGATACGCAATTGGCATCCGATTTACCAAATTATCGATTTCTGTCCACAAGTTATAACGAAAGGGGTGTCAACAGTAGCAGCCAGAATGATTCATCAAGCGACGTCAAGTTAACCGAAAATTCTAATTCAATATATGCCTCAAGCGCAGAGAATATATCCCGATTACTAAAAGGATGGATGTCATCTCCCAAGATTGGTTCTCAAAACAATCCCACTGCTGAATGTTGTGAGGGTACTACTGCTACTGCAGAATCAGTTCATTACTATAGATTGAGGGTTGATCAGCAAGAGGGAAATAAAGTAATTCCAAGGGATGAATTTGAATCCATTTTGTCTTTTGATCAAAGCAGAAATGGATTAGTCCGTGACAAGTCTTGTGATTCTAGTCAAAGGGGCTCTGAGATAAGTGGAAATGATGAAGAAAAAGTTAAGTTAGATGTGCATGAGCTGAAGCCAAAGATGGAAAATAATCCTCCTCTGTCATTTCTTGAGAATTGGCTTCTGGATGAATCTGCAAATCATGAAGTTGAAGAAGTTATGGGACTCCCACCAATATACTAGCTCATTTTCAGTTAAAATAAGCACCTAATTTGCTAGATGAGTCACTTATTCTATGAAGAAAATATGATCCAAAAATGAGGGGATCAGTCTTTGAATCTTGTTCTAGGGAACCAAAAAGTTGGATCTCTCTACTGCTTCCTTTTCGAAATCTGTAACTTCTATTTTCTGTTGATGGACTTTGAAGGTCTCTTTTCATCAATCCATCTTTACTTTTGCCATCTTTAATTATCTGTTAATATATTTTAAGTTCAGACTTAAACCACTTCGTTTAAAAGTTTACCATCATTCTCTCATTCATAGTAAATTTTACAAATTTTCGCCGGTTTTGCTCCAAAAACTTGCATAGTGAAGGATTTCTCACTAAGCACAAGTAGTTACATAGAAAAATTTATTTATTTTTACCTTAACACAGTTTCTCATCCTGATACTTAAATTAACTCGTTAAAGATGAATGGCTTTAAATTGAAGAGAGAAACATAAAATAAAATTTAAAGGCCTTGATAAAAGGTTGCATCAACTGATAAGAGCATATAGTTGACGTTTACTACGCATTTATAATGCCAATCAAACTCGAATTTCACGCCATTGTAGCCACAATGTCTTTTGCCGACGAATGGAGATGGTGACACGCCATTAAATTGAAGAAAAACAATACTCAAATGTCAAATTTGGTTTGCAATTTCGAACAGCATAATTTATTCTTTAGTATTATTCAATATTATGCACGAAACATGAAATAAATTGATAGCCATTGAAAGAGACTATATCATATGCTGGAACTGTCACAGCCATCTTGTCCTGTTTATATATGTAACGGGCTCAACATGCATGTGCTTACACATAAGACACTATGCAACATTGAGCATGTAAGTTACTAGTCGCAAAAATTTGAGTCGAGTCATATCACAAATTAGGTGGCTCATAATTTCGTATATGGGGACTAGTTGATAGAGCAAAGGAGATAGACTTATAGACTCGAACACGTAGCGAAATCAGCTATATATCCCATTGGACTATCAGGACACAAATAAGTTGGGGGCAAGGACTCGACCCCGGCAGTAGGGTACAATATTGTAAGATACTTTCGGGATTACGGTTCTATATAAAACAACTTTATTCAACCTTTTTCCTTTTCAAAATTAGTGGATTATTTGAGTCGTACAGAAGTGGACATTAGGCACGTAGCCGAATCACTTACATTTCCATATGTCGAAATTATTGTTCTTGTTTTCTGATATTATTGTTCTTCTTCTTTTCAATTTTATACAATATTGGATAAGTAGTACTCGATTGAATCATATTTTTTAGCACTTAAAGTTTAATTCTTTCTATACAATTCATTTTACTAAACCTATCTTAAAAACGCGTTATGATTTTTACGATGAGAACATGAAAGGATATTGGACAGTACAGTGTCACGGAAGTCTTGCTACTGAAAATGGTAAATATTACTTGTTTCTTCACATTTGATCTGACTTAAGAGGGAATTGCATGTGAATTCTTTTGCTTTTCGGTATGGAAACTTGAATGCTGGATCAAGTAATTATAGGAAATTGCTTACGTTTTAATCAATTAAGCTCCAAGTACAGAAATTTTTTGACAAAATTGATACCGACACTGACCTGGACAAACTTGATTGGCCTTTTTCCTTTTCAAATCTTCCAATGTTGTTATATCAAGTGTTGTCTGTCAAAATTTTTTGTCAGAAAGATCTATACCTATAGCATGATTGCATTTTAATAGCCCAGCTGGTGTAATATTTTTCGTGAACATTTTTATGAAAATTTTGTTTGTCAATATATATATAATAAAAATAAATTATATCTACATTTATTGGATATGGTAAAGATTCGATAATTGGCATGAATAAAATTTCATTTCTACGTTTGTGACTTTTGAAGAAATTCCTCGCTTTTATCTTAATTTTCGTTGAATTTATTTTTCAAGATAGCGAAAATAAAATTGATATTTCGTTTATAGATTTTGACTGCAACAATGATAAATTAAATATTGTGACCATTTTAATTTTTAAGTATAAAAAATAAAATCAATAGTTTGTCACCACCGGATATTTGGGTGATTACAATTGTTTCCCTCTCTACAGGGAAGACATTTAAAATTGTTAAATAAATGAATTCATGTCTTGCCAATTAGGTGTGGTGACGCAAAAATGAGTTTTTGAATTTATTAGACCGCTTTGGGTATTGCTTTGCGTTTTTACATAAACGCGTCTTTTATTTCACAGGAGATTAAGGATTTTCAGAAAATTATCAAAACATATTTAAAAGCGATTTTTTAATCTCAAAAACAATTTTTTATTTTTCAAAAATCTTGTCAAACGTCGCTTGAAAATCCTTTCTAAGTTAAAAATCATAGAAAAATAAAGAAAATACAGAAATTTCTTGTATGAAACAATCGTCATGATAATTCTTTTGTATATTTGTTGAACTTATAAACCCATGATCATCTTTTGTTTTCGAATGATCTAAAGTCATCAAATTTAATCATCAATAGCAAGGACTCCACGTGTAGTTTGTATGTGATTGACAGTCTCAACTTTTCTATGTTCCAAAAAAGCACAAATGTCCTAACGATTTTGCGCCTTGTATGGATAGGGATTGCTGACGAGGAGAGGGTGACAGGATGGGGTGGCAAGGCGTGATTGGGTGTTGTATATATTTTTTCAGACAGTCCAATCATGTATTAAGCGTGTCCACTCTATCGTTGAGCCTGTCATCATGGCAAAATTGATGTCCTAAAGATCCACAAAAATCATCTAAAAAACAAAAAAAACAAAAAAACAAAAATTAAACTCATAACCCTAAAAACAATTAATTAAAATTTGGGTGATTATAATCACGTGATATTTTTTTTTTTTTTATAAATACACGACATTTTAACTACATTACAGGTATTAACATTTATTCATTATCACAATATCCTTAACATTTTTTTTCATCACATTCTTATTTTTAACATTTCATTAATAAAAAAAATTTGTCCTTAATTACGGTTCTCGTCGAAAAATATTATTATTGTGATGGTCAAATATTTAATCGTTCTTTTGCATTATTATTTGTTTTGCTTATTTAAAAATACAACGGACATATGAGTTTTTTTACTCTATCTTAAAGAAAATTTTGGAGAGAAATCATAATTAGAAACAAGGTATGTTAATTTGAGCGTAAGAATACAATGATAAAAATGTTGAGGCATACATATGTGTAAAAGTTATTAATCTTTCAATATATTTAAAATTACATTTTAATTATCAGTGTGAATATATTTAGAAAATTTTCATCCCATCACTTTTCACATTATTATCAAAGCTACCTAACAACAGTAATGGGTTGGCCGTTGGCATGCATGTGATATAAAAGCCACTTCATACGGTACTGATCCTCATGAATATACTTATTACCTTTATTGCCAAAAATTAACAATTTTTTGTTGAGGGACCACTCATGCAAAATTTTAAACCCTAAATTTACAAGAGTACACACGTCCAATCCCTTCAAATGATACGTGGTTCAAATCAAATGGTCACGTACACAACAGCATTGGCCTCGTTGTCCGTCCGATTTAGGATGACGATTCTAAACGGACAAGGCCACATAGGCCTTGTCCGTATGGCACTGCTCTTTTGAGATAAGTCTTTAGCCACATATAAAATATCTTAAGATCCACTTTATTTTATCAAATTAACTATAAATATGTAAAATTTTATAATAAAATGTTTAATTATTATTTGAATGTCTTGTGACCCCTAGATCTCAAGCTCGAAATGCTTACATTATTCTAATATAACATGTTTTCAATTAAACAAATCAAATGTTAAAGGCAAATTGGACGTGATTCGAAAAATAAATATGTAATTCTAACATTTATCCAAAGGTTCTAGGACATTTGTCCCCAACGTTTTAATTTGAGGATATAAACTTTTCATCGTCCCAAACTCAAAACTCCCATAATATACTATTAGATGTCCAATCTTTGAAACCGCACCAGAGGTTGAACCTCATCAACTAGCTACTGTCCTTATCACTTAAGATAATGATACAAATCGAACTCACTTTTAGAAGAGCCTTATTTTGCTCTAGATAGCAAGCTCAAAAATACTGATTAGTTCGAAGATGGAGACGGCTAGTGTGACACCTCTCGTACTCTATTTGTTTATTGAATCATGCGTAATTGATGGATTCCCCTTTTACTATCTAGTGCTCTATTTATGGATTGAGTAAGGATCTTTGCCTAGAGTTACAAATACATGCTTGGGCTTGGCCCATGAAGTGCAGTGCACCACTTAACTACTGCCACTAGACGTCTTCATTTACATTCTCGTCAATGAAAGTTCGACGTATATTATTCAAATGTTCACCTTGTTTTAATATAAATTAGGTTTAGGATTAATTCTTCTACAACTTTGTTAAGAGTTGGGGTACATCTTAATAAGATCAACCTTGTTAAGAGGAGTGACCTAAGATCTTTTTAAGTTGGTCAATATTTCGATATTTTACCGATGTGGGATTATTTTCCCTTAACATGCCCCCCGCAAGATGGTGGCTCATTTTTTGAGCAGACCATCTTGAAATTCATGTGCTCATTTTTGAGACTTAATCGGATTGAATAGCTCGTTGGAGCATACTGGACTCTGATATCATGTTACGAGTTGGAGTCCATCTTAATAAGGTCAATCTTGCTAAGAGGAGTGGCCCAAAATCTTTTTATATATTGGTCAATATTTCAATATTTTACCGATGTGAGATTATTTTCCCTTAGCAAACTTTAACTAATTTAAGTTTTAAATCAAGAAAACAATGTATGTAACAACTTGATATATTTTACAATTTTAATTTTCTCTCGCTTCAGAGTCCTCCCCAATCCTAGAGAGACATGGTGAATGATTTGGGGCCTTTTTGATTAATCAACGTCTCCTAGGATTTAATAACCTCCTTTTCGGCCTTCAAATTAGGATTACAATGTTGGTCCATTGCAATAAGAAAATGAAAAGTTAATTAATTTGATGTGATGCAACTGACCCGTATATTGTCAAACACCTTTCACAAGGAAAATGGATCTTGGGCACGTAGGGACTCTACATTAATTTCAGAAAACAACAATTAAATTGGATATAATCCGTTTGTAAAAATGTAAAAATGGTATATTAGCTTATCCCAATTTACATTTCAACGTTAGCACGTCATCGTGTGGGGTGACATTACGTT